AATAACGTACAAGACAACTAGCAAGATAATCTGGACCAATCAGAAGTTTTACAACCGGAATACCTCTCTAACATTTCACATAGATTAAGATGTCGATTTCTTTGATTTAAAGTTTGTATCTAGGATCATTTAATATAATTTATTTTTATGCATGAAATTGTTGGATTACATTTACTTCACACAGCAGCCTGAAGTAGTTACTTCTACATTATTGCAGCATGGCTTATTTTTTAACATTATCGATTAAGACAGTTATAGGATATTGAAGTTTTTCAAACCTAAAATTAATTAAAACATATTTTTTTTTAATATTATGAAGATATTTACGGCATCTACCTGTTATATAAAAGGCATATATATTTTCTTAATATTTACTACGCGAAGTAAACTTTCTTATCAATAACATAAAACATATCACTTGTTGTAAATGTGGTCAGCAATAGTAACAAAATATTACAAGTTTACTGTAGTACAACCGTTGGTTATTTCAGTATACCTGAAGTACTAGAATAACCATAAAAATAACTCAAGACATAATAAAAAAAATCTATTTCATTCTTTTATTACATTTTACTGTTAGATTAACTATCAGAAATTTTTCAATATTGCTTTTTTAATGCTTTTAAAGTAAATGAGCACACCCAGCAAACGTTCAATAGCGGAATTTCAGTGGGACTATATAGGCATTTTTAGCCACCATTGGTGGCAGCCGCTTTAAATTGCTAACCAATAATTTTTCGACATTTTAATATTAGCTAGCCAGCAAAAATTCTATAGTGGATTTTTAGTGGTCTAATATAGGCATTTTGAGCGGGCTGCTTTGGTTTTGCTCATCGGTTACTTAGTGGACGATTGGTGAAGTCATCAAAAGTGGCAAGCAGATGACTACCCAGCAAACGATATTTTAGTGGATTTGCAGTGAACCTATATCGGCATTATTTAGCGGTTAATTGGAGTTTTGCTCATCAATTACTTAGCGGACCATTATTGACAGTCGCTAGAAATGGCGAGCCATTAACTTTCCGAGACTTTAATAGTAGGTAATCATCAGCTATCCACTTTTGGCGGCTACCACTAATGGTCCACTAAGTAATCGATTAGCAAAACCAAAGCAGCCCGCTCAAAATGCCTATATTAGACCACTAAAAATCCACTATAGAATTTTTGCTGGCTAGCTAATATTAAAATGTCGAAAAATTATTGGTTAGCAATTTAAAGCGGCTGCCACCAATGGTCCACCTAGTAATTGATGAGCGAAACTCCAATAAGCTGCTCAAAATTTTTATTTAGGTCCACTACAAATCCATTAAAAACTTGTTTGCTGGGCAGCTTTTAAAGTAAATAAGCAGTCGCAGAGTAGTGTCTAGAAATCTGGCTCAGAACCAATAGCCCGAAATTCATTCTTCTACCGTGTTCTGCGATAAGATCGTAAGGACGCTTTGGAGCATCATATTAACTACACACACACACACAAAAAACACGCAAGTTTTCCAAAAAATTTTAAAAATAGTTATTTTAACTCCACTCTCACTTAAATAGAAGTTTTAAAAAATTATATGATCTATTTATGAGTTATCGCAGTTCACAAGCAAGTCATCTTAATAAGCATAATCTAGTTATGTTGCAATCTAGGTTATTATCACAGGATAAATATGTTACAACCTAAGTAGATATCTAGGTAAGATGTAAATGTTACATTTACTTTGTATACTATATTTAATTAATAAATTGAATTAAAGTATTTTTTATTTTTGAATCGGAGTTTGAATGCAGAGTTTTTTTACGGACTCCGCATTCGTGAGTACAATGTAACTATATAAGCTGTGTATTTTGTTATCTTTTATACTACTCCCTAGAGGAAATGAAAAACAATTTTCTGTTGGCGGTGCTAGGATGTATAAAAGTAAAAAGAGTATAATCAAAAATAATGTTTCTCATCAGTATAATGTAATGAGTATAAACCATAAAGGCTGGGTAATTTGTTTATTTATCTCCTAAAAGATAAATAATTTTTGAATTAGCGATGTTTGCACATAGCATAAAATAAAAAGTCAAGGCAAATCAAAGTTAATTAAACTAGAATAGACAAGTTACAGTAATATTATTTGAAGTTGCTCGAAGACTGTCTAAAAAAGGTTAGCTTTCAGTAAAAATGGGAACGCGTCTAATGATAATTTAAATCAAGTTTTATTTCAAAACACAATTCAACAATGAATCAGTTGGTTCTATTTCAAGACATAATTAAATATTAAATCAGTTGGCTCTATTTCAAGATACAGTTCAATATTGAATCAGTTAGATCTATTTTAAGACACAGTTCAATAATGAAACTTTTTGGTAAAAGTTATTGACATGCAATCATAGCAGTAGTTTTACCTAGAACTTTTTTAAATTTCCAAAACAAAATAATTTAATAATAGAATATGATGCTGAAAGGTATTGTGAATGATATTAAAACGACTTAATTTTTTTTTTTAATTTTTGTTCTAGGTGCGCCAGAAAACCAAACTAATCTTGTCAGAGAGCACCGCAAAAGAGCGTATAACTTGGAAGTTCAGCCATGTTTTTTACCGATGATCTCTTGCTTTTAGAGCAACCGAACCTTTGATCTCTTGCTTTTAGAGCAAGCACTCTAACCACTGCGCCACGACCGCTGAAAAACGGCCATTAAAACGAAAATTATAGAGTATTTAGAAAGAATCCTCCAAATATAAAAAAAAATTATTATATCAGTTGCATAACTTTAATAACAATATTTCTATGAAAATGGTGCACACGTCTCCATCATTTAGTACAACATAAGATTTAATATACGCCTTGCCAAGCTCATTGAATAAACACACTTATCGAACATAGCTAAAATGCCAGTATAGTTATATCGAGTATGATTGATAGTTTTTTTTCATCTAGTACCAAATAAAACGTAATATTGAATAACGGAATAAAGAATATAGAAAATAAAATAAAAACTGTATATAAAGCTTGATGGACCGTAAAAACTATTTTCAAAAGTTTGTACAGTAGTTTTAGTATATATTCAAACCATTTGTTTTATAAAATTACCAAAACAAAAGCACCTAAATCTTAATTTCTAAAAATCTATATTATTTTTACTTTATTGCATCTTTTGATTGATTTTTATGAAGTATATATAAACTTAAACCCTTAATTAAATCGCTAAAAAAAAACAAAAAAAAACACGATTTTTGCATTGTTCATGGCAGTATTTTAATTTACTAAAACAGTGTTTCGATTATTAATTAAATTAGTAGTATAAACAATGCATGATTCTTTTCTTTTAGCATTCTGGTTAAAGCTTTAAGCTTATACATTATTAAACAATGTTGCGACATTTACTGCTGCTTTCGCTAATCTTATTTTTTTGGAACGGCCCTTTATCTAGGTGTATCTAACAATAATTTAGTTAAGTTTGTTTCTTTTTTAAAAATATCCAAAAATTTCAGTTGAAGAATACTCTTAACCTTTGCTTATTTAAAAATAAGGTTTTAATGTAGTCTAGTTATACAAGTTGACTTATAAGCGACATTAACATATCATGAAAAAATATAAATAAAAACATTTTTGAAACTTAAATTTTTTTGAAAAAAAATATTTTAATTTAGTTTTTCCTTGGTTACCACTAAAAGGTTGTTTCCAAATTTAACCAATAAACATATCTAGGTTGTTATATAATAAATAAACAGTGAAAAGGTTGTTATTTTATACAAAAACTAACATCCCCTATCTCTTTTTACCACTGTGTTTAATAATACTCATATTTTATTTTTATTTTTATATTTGAGCATACAAAAAAAAAAATAATAATAACAATACAATTAAATTTTTAAAGTCTTAAACCATAAATAAATAAATAAAAATGATCATTTTGATAATTTCAAAAATGAGAAGAAAATGAAAAGAAAAAATTAAATTAACACTTTTTGAAAAACAAGCAAACAAAAAAATTCATAAAATTTAAAAAAAGAAATTCGTTTTCGTTAAAAAAACACAAAGTATAAAATAACTCTCTCTAATAAATAATATTTCAAGAATGCCATGTGAAATCGGCACAAAACAAAAAAGATTGGAAATGAGTTTCCGAGACGAAAACAATTTATTAAATATTATTTACAAATAATATTATGTCAAATAAAAATCTTGAAAGATATTTATAAAAGAAAAGAATCTCCAGAAAATGATCATCAAAGAAAAAAAGTAGCAAAAGGCTGCAAGCATAAAATAAAACATAAAAGATTTTTAAGTTTTTACTAATTAATATATTTTATGTTTTTCCAAAAAACGAAATTAAGTTAACAAAATCCACATATCCAACTTGCTTTATCAAAATAACATTGAAAAAGTAAAGGAAAAATCAAAAAGAAAAAATGCCAAATAATAAAAAAAGATATTAAATAAAATTCAAAAATAAAGTATTTTTATGAAATATTTATGTAATTTTTAAATAAGTTAATAAAAAGTAATTATGCTGCAGCAAACAAGAAATGAATAAACTGCATATTTAGTATTACAATAAATTCATATATATATATACAAAATAATTTATCAACAAACTTTTCATGATAAAATATTGATAAAATATTGCAAAAAAGTGAAGTAATAAATTTATGCAAAAGGTTTTTAAAACCTAATGATTAATTGAACAATTAAATATTTTTTTTTTATTGAAATGAAAAAACCTTTTGAATACTTATTAATAAATAACAAATTAAACTGTGTCAGATTTATTCATGTCTTCAATTGAGATAAAAAGCATTTTAAATTTTTAGGAGTTGGGGAAATATATATAATATATAATATATATATATATATATATATATATATATATATATATATATATATATATATATATATATATATATATATTTATATATATATATAATATATATATATATATATATATATATATATATATATATATATATATATATATATATATATATATATATATATATATATGTAATATATATTATAAATATTTATATACATATTATTATTATAGTTAAATATAGTTAGCTAGGTTATTGGCACCTACAAAAATATACCTTCAGCATAAATGCAGCAAAAATAAAATTTTAGAACAAATGTTTTAAAGATTCTATTATAGCTCAATAACTTTTTGAGTATAAAAAATTATCCAGAAAAACCTCCACAGAAAGGTGCATTGGCTCACTGATTTCTCAGTGATTGCAAAATGAATGCAAAGCAGTTTGATGAATAAATCAAAAAAAAAATTAATATAAAGATCAGAGCTGTATTTTGCAAGCCTATTTATAATATAAAATTAAATTATCAATATAATGCTCCATTTTTCCGAACTATACATTAAAAAAAAATGATTTATATAAATAAAAAGCAAATATATTAAAATAAAATATTTTTTTTAAATATGAAATGCCCAAAATCCATTTATTGAACAAAATTATTATTTATGTTATAATTTACTATTAACAAACCACATAGAAGAGTAGCTTTATATACACATAATATATACAATATATATAAATATATGACACATATATAAAGCTACCTCAAACTAGCTCACAAGATTTTCGGGAGAAGGAGGTGTATGGGGTTGATAAAGTTCTTCAACTGGATTTAATTTCATAATTTTTGCTTGTGGTTGTTTAAAATTGTTATCAACTCTTGCATCAAATTGTACAGGTGTATATGGAGATAAATGATTTTGAGTAGTAGGTCCTGTTAATATATGTTGAGTGTTTTGATGGTGTCGCATTCCACTTTGACTTTTGTAAGCTTTACCACAATGACAAATATAACTTTTTTTAATTTCACTTGATAAACCTTCTTTTTTATTGTGCCCATTTTTTACATGGTATTTTATTCCATTAATATTTTTGTAGCGCTTAGAACAACCAGGAACAGTACATAAAAACCGTTTTTTACCTTCACTGTCCTCTAGACATGTAAATTTGCCTTGTAAACTCTCACTAGTTATTGTATTGGGTAAAGAAGTTGATACGTTTATTAAATTAGAGTCTGTTTGTACTTTGATAGCATTGATATTATTAGCAACCCATGATTGACAAGAATCGTCACTTCCAACGTCTGAGAAAACATCACTTTCATCCAAAAAGCTGTCTAAACTGTCACTGTATGCTTCGGAATTGTTTAAAGATGGTTTCTCTATTTCACATGATCGTTTTAACTCAATATCGGAAGGTAAAGTAGGTCGAGCTTTCCTTAAGTTTTCGGAAAAAAAGCAGTTAACATAACTTAAAGCGATTGCAGGTGGTTGAGAAAGTTCTTGCTGATTTAAAACAATAGGATCTCTTATAATATGAAGATATTCAATATGATCAATAAGGTCAACAAGCGAACTAAACTTCTTTCTACAATTTTCGAAACGGCAGATGTACTTGTAAAATGCAGCCATCTTGAAACCATAACTCTTGTTTACTAAATTGTTTCGCTTTAAATCACGTGACATTGTTTGGTCTAATGAGTAAGTAAATTGCATAATCGTGCATGAATAGGTATTTTGCAGAACGTGTAAAGCACATGTGGAAGTAATAAATTCTTATACTTATACGTTTTTATTTATAATTTGATTTTATTGTACACAGCAGATGGCCTATAGCCAAAATTAGTTTTAATTGCTCATTTAACACAATAAAGCATAAAAAAATCTATATTGTAAAGTATCGTTTTTAAACGATAAGAAAACGATCATAAAATCATTAATCCCCATTATGGTGGGGGTATAAATTCTGCATGATGGTAGAGTATACATAAATGAAAAAAGAAATAGTACTTCACTTAATTACTTTCACATTTAGAGTGTGGTTTGCTTGTTTCCCAGATTCCAATCGTTTTTTGTAAACAGTTTCTATTTGATGTAACCTCAACATACCTAAGTTTGAAGTCTAAGTTATCTTTTCAAATCTATTTCAATCACCAAAAAAAGTCATAATCAATTTATAAAGTGCCTTATGCGTATGTTTTTAGCTGTAGTATACCTTAACATTATTTGATAGCTAAGACTACCCCACTAAAATAACCTAAAAGTTATTTTTTATTTGGGTAATCTTAGCCATCAATTTATAATATAAGCCAAAAATCTATATAACCTGTGTGCTTTTGGAGCTACCTTGTACCTACAGTACACCTCACTTTTAAAAGGCTACTGAATAAAATTCTTTAAATTCAACTTTTATTAGGTTATTAAATAGATCTCCTAATATACATGGGCTGATTGTACACCTTTCTTAGAAACTTAAAACTTCAAATACGATCAAATTGTTAAAAATTTGATTACTGAAATAATCTTTAATGATTATTAATATAGTTAGTTTTAGAGCTAAAATATATTTCTAAATAAAGTTTCTACGTTATTTAGGCAACTTACTTGGTAAGATCATCAGGTATCTATTGCCATTGAATTTAAAACTCTTCTATTTAACAGAATTTTTTATTTAAGTTATTTAAATAATGTTGAATTTTAATAATTAGCATAACAATAATATTTTTAGTTTAGTTTTTACTAATACTGATTTAGGACATCAAAAAGTTGTAAATTATTACATCAGAAAATGATGCAATAAAAAAATGAGTCCAACTGATGAAAGAATTCTGCGAGATGGTAACATTTTATAAAATTTATTATTATTTTTTGTGATAAAAAACTTCTTAAGAGTTTAGAAACAGAATAGTAAAAAAAAAAACAATATATTATAAATGTACATTACAAATATAACTAAAAATATGAAAATATATCAGTGTACAAAATTATTTAACCTTGCTAGTCATTTACATATCTATTATGTAGCTGTTAAGTACTGCACAACACAAAAGTACTTGAGCCTTTTCAATAGCTAAAAAGTTGTGCAATTTATTTTTTTATTTTGTTACTTTATCATTTTTATATAGCTGTTAGCCAAGAATATATTTTTTACTGCATTTTGTTATTGTTCTACAAAACAATTGGAAATTTTAACAAAATTGTCTTTTTTTTTTTAATATCTTTACTTCCAATAAGGCTACAAGCAACCATTATTAGAGTTGTAAGTTACTGGAAGAGAAAGGATGAAGTTTATACACCAAGATAATTGTTAACAGACAACTTTAAAAGTTCTAGAAAGAAAACTAGTCAAATAAGAAATTTTTGAGCATTTTTGAACAGCCACTGCAAAAGGATAAGACTTGATCAAATGACGAATGTTACGCAAGAAAATCTGGAATAAGAAAGTGGTAGATACAGTAAAGAGATGCAACCTTGCAGATGCTAATTTTGCAATCGGATTGATATATGGTTCTAAGAAACATTAGAAGTAATCCTTGAAATGAAGAATAGATGACTCATTGAGTACATGATTGTTCATAAATATAGGAATATCTAAATTGTTGTAGCTGAAAAAGAGTTTTATCTTAGTTAATTAGTTAGTTTAATTAGTTTTCATGCTCAAATGCCCACTCCAATTAACCAGTGTGTGTTGGCTTCTTATCAAGATAAGAATAATAATAAAAATAAATGGTAGTATCATTAGTGATGATACAACCATTCTTATCTTGATAAGAATAAGTTATTCAATGCCACCTTGGATATGAAAATTTTTGGGAGATGATTAATGTAAATTTAAAAAAGTATAGGGCTAAAAGTAGAATCTTGAGGAACCTCAAGAAGTTACAAGAAATGAAAAAGAGTGCTATTTATTGAGTACAACTTTTATACTATGATTAGTAAGGAAGGGTTTAATAGTCTTAAAGACGTTACCTGGTACACTGTAAGAAGAGATCTTATGGAGAAGACCAGCATGCCAAACTTTATCAAAGGCTTTAGAAATGTCGAGAGTGATAGCCTTAACCTCTCCACATTTATCTAATGCATGATAAAACCTATTGGTTATTACCGTTAACAAATCAGCAGTAAAATGATCAGAAAGTAAGTTATTAGATTTAAGGTAAGAGATTAAGTATTTGTTAATTAAAGGCTCAACAACCTTGCTTTGCCAAGGAAGGATACTATTGGTAAGTTAGTTTGACAAGTCAGATTATTCTTCAGAGTTTTTGAAAACAGGGATAACAGATAATGCTTTCCAGCAGGCAAGAAAACTACACTCTGATAAGCACTTGTTAAATAGTTTTGAAAGTATAGACGACTGCTCTGTAGATCTGTAACAAGTAACTATAATTTATAACAGGTATGTTGTTGAACCAAAGCAGGAAATCACTTTAGATACAGTAGCTGGTGCTTGATATAATTGTCAAGCAATGGATCAACCTGTTTGTTGGCAGGTATGTCAGTTAGGATGCCATTACTGGAATCAAGAGATAAGATTGAAGAGAAGTTCTTAGCAAACAATTCACCTTTGTCTTTAAGTAAGGTAACAAAATATCAATGGGCCCCAAATGCGGCCTAGACAATGCACACCAAAAGTATAAACAGGGACACCACCTATGTGCAATATAGTACTGTTTTGTACTCTGATAATTTACAGCTATTAATGGAATCAGCCTATCTGAGAGCTACCACAGTGTTCAGGAAACCTGGCTACTAGCTGTCCTCAGAACCATAAAGTTGAGTTTTATAGCTGTACCCTCATTAGGAGATGAAAGAATGAGTTGCCTAGTCATAAAAACAGAGGCACAAGCAAAATACATGCATTGAGTCAAGAAGATCCAGCATTCGACATCCTAAACTGAAAACAATGTATTATAAATAAGACAAAAATAAGCCTAATAGATAAAGAAGGGGTGCAAGGCTGGTCAGCAGATATAATCTGTTTACCCCTTAAGTCTTTGCTTTGGTTTCTTCTAGTAGCCAAATGCATTTAACATCTGCCAAGATGTGTATTTTTATTGATACTTTATTGATACCTTCTCTAGCCTTTACTCAACCAAGAATTTTTGTATTTTTGATTTTACTTTACCTGATTGCTCTTAAACATGAAAAATATTATATTTTAATTTAATTTTTTAAGAAAAATAAAAAGATTTAGATACAAGAGAGTAACTGTTAAACTATAGAAACTAAGAAAAAATTAATAATTTAATATTTTACAAATTATCTGATATTGTTATTGTTATTTAAATTTTTATTATTTATCTTGTAATTTACATATAAATTTTTAAATAAATTTATAATTATTAATAAATTTTTATAAAGTATTAATTATTAATAAATTTTTATAAAGTATTAAATTTTGAATTTAAAAAAATTGTTGTGTGCCTTAATTTATGGCTATTTATTTCTAAACAATAATTCACTTGTAAGATATGATTTTAAATATTTAATTATTAATAGAGTTAAATTAAATAATAATTAAGTGTAAAAAAGTGAAAAAAATATTAAGTATTTTTTTCAAAGAATAAAAATACTTTTTGAAAATTTTTTTGTTCAAGGTATTTTTAAATTTAACCTAATTTACTTTTTATTAACAGAATATGTGTACCTTGTTATAGTAAGTTTTTAACTGAAATATGTAAAATCCTTTATATGTTTCTCTAACTTTTTTTGCAATATGTTTGAGGTGCTACTGTTTGCAACAATATACTTTTTTTTAACCTCATTACTGTATACCATTGTTAACCCAAAGGTTAATACTTTTCACAGTGCTTTAAGGCACCTTTTAAATAAAAGAGATAATTATAGTAAACTTAATGATTAAAAAAATATATAATTAAAAAAATTGTGTGCTTCAATTATTCATTTAAAAGGCTTTTTTAAGTCAAAAAAAATCTAAAAAAATAAATTAAGTTTATAATAATAAATAATATATATATAGTTTGAATACCTTTAGTTATGCAATGTCTGTTTGTCATTTTTCAGAAACTTGAATGCATAGAAAATAGTTATAAACTTGCTCATATTAGTGATGAGAGTAGAATCCAGATCCATATGTTTCTGCACATAATCTTTGAGAAAGAGAAGCTTTGGGTAAAATACCTTTGGCCATAAAGAACAATGCTGGATCAAAGTGAATATGGCATAACTTATCCAGCTCATGTTAGTCATCTCTTTTCTTACCAGTCTAAAATATTTTTAGATATTAATGAATTTTCTCTATATCTAGTAAAACGTTATGAAAAAATGCTACTAAAAATAGTTATTTAGTGTTTTAGTAAGTGTTTGTTTACAATTGTTTTAAACTAACCTCTGAGTTTTTAAAAGCTTAGGTTTTTACTATCATCATAAGTTGGTTCTTTGCTTTAATGGCTTGAAGCTCAAGCCATTGAATCAAGAGTATTGAAGCTCAAGTCATTGAATCAGCCAAGTATCACTAATGGATTTCCATTCAAACCATTTGAATCAGCTGACAATCTTCAATATCAATGGAATGCCATTATTTTTGAAGGGATTTAAAAAGCTGTTTTTCAAGGCCAACAGCGGCCTTGGAACCAATAGCCTTGATTTGGACGTGATGATTGCAAGCCTATATCAGTAAAGAGTTTCCAAGGTCAGATCTCAGTCTTAAAAATGCATTGCATTCTCACATTCTATACCTAAATTATTATAGTCAAATTATTATCAATATTTTCGTAACCTAACATAATTGTTATCTGATTTTAAAAATTCAAGTAACACATTTAGTAATAAGGTTTCAAAAATGTATTCTTATTATTTTTTTACCTGCATTTAGCTTTACTCAGTTAGCCAGTAATGCTCCTGGTTAAAAAGAGCAATACTGGAAGACTTTTTCAAAAGGCCACAAATTATTTTAAGCTGGTTTAGGTCAATGCCAGAGTCATTGCCTGGTGCATCTAGCAGGTGATCCTTGACTTCAAATCTTACAAGTAAACAGATCCTGTCTTTTGCTTTGTCACAGTGTTCAGTTATCAAGTGCTATTTTATTTTATCATCAAAATGTAATTCAAGTTTTCCATCTTTGTGGTTAATTTGGTACTGCAATATCTTTTTTAACTTTTAAAATCTTTATCAAGTATCTTATTTTTCATTAGATATACACTTGAATATGAAAGAGAAAACTTATCTGGATTACCTCCTCCTTCAATAACCAACTTTTAGAGTAGCTGTGATCTTATTAGCAGATATATTGGCTCCCAGAACTGTTCTCATTGTGTTAAGTATGGTGTTTTTTCTTATTTCAATACATTGAGATAGAGTATTTGATTAGTTTTAGTTTTTGGCAAGTTGAAGCAGATATTCACTGCCACTTGAACTGAGCATGACATAAAGTGAGCATATTTAGAGAATCCTGGGCTTCTACATTGAAAGGTATTCTATTAGCCTTTTTTTCTAAATCTCTTTTTTCCTTTTGCTTTAATTAGTCAAAATGAAATACTCTGGCTTTGTCCAGATATTTGATGCACATCTTCTGATCTGTTATCTGATCTCTGATGAAGGTAATGTCATTTGCCTCTACTTCTATGAGTATATAGTTATTTATCTTGATAGTGCTTTTGTCTACTTCTGTGAGTATGAACTTGTTCACCTTGTGGTCAGTGCTTGGTTAAAACAGTCTTATAAAAAGTAAAGTAAGCTATGCTAGTTGGTATTATAA